CTCAGAGCCTGCGCTCTCTCTCTAAAACAAAATAGCTAGATAAATCCCTGCTATAGTAGTTTTACTGATTCCTCCCAACCATGAAGCCAAGTAGGCATTCTGGACTAACACAGTAACTAGTGCTGTAGCAACAACAGTTGTACAATTCATTATCCACTATAAATCAAGCCGTTTTTGGAACTGTTTTTAATAGAAAAAGAGACTTTGTGCAATTGCGGCAAAAATTTAATTCTTGCGAACCTAAAATAGAATAAAAGTTGGTTTACAGATTATGTAGAACATTTTAATAGCATCCCCCATGACAATTGGCGTGAAAATTTTGTATTAATTTCATCAAATCTAAAAACCTTTAAAAAATACATATTTACAATTTATTAATCATTTGTTTCGAAAATCTTAAAATATATCTTTTGTCGCAAAAATTAAGTGATCTACAGTATGATATATAGTAGAGTGAATCAGAATTTTTTAATTACTATGATTCCATACCCTCCTGACAAATAGAAAACTAACCTTCTGCCATACTGTCTGTTAACTGTTCTCCTATTGCTGCCAGAAGTAATTCTTTCCAAACCGTCGGCTAGAATAAAGTCAACGTGGAGTTACTTCACCAGTATTATATAGGCCAAAAAAAGGTTCAGTTTTATAAATACATTAATATGACTGAATACATGTAACAAAATGACCTCATTTCCATTTTTCAGCACTGAGTAGGTACATGTAATGGTTTAAAATATGATTGTGGAAGTAAGTTTATACATTGTATTTTATACATATAAATATTTTTCCTTATGTAAATTTATGCCCATATAGTTTGGAACCTTATAAATATGGACAGCTCCAATCTGCAAAATAACTAACTGAAGAAAGTTTGGATGAATTTTTATAAGGAAGATAACTTTAGATACAAAACTACTTCTTAAGTAATCTACTAAACTAATCTCATAAATAGCTCACAGAGTCTACTAAATTTATCTGATATGACATATGTAGTAATTAACTCACTGAGTCAAATTTGGAACATTTTAATTTGACATAAATTGACAATTGGCTATTTTTCATGAAACAATCATTTTATTTGAATTGTATTAATTTCCCATCAAATCTTAAAAACCTTTAAAAAAAAATACACATTTAACAGTTTATTAATTCCTCAGCATTACATATTAGGTTTTCATAAACTTTCTTAAAATAAGTCTTTTCGAAAAAAACTTTTCACAACTTTTAACATAATATAAAATCACTTTTATTTTGATGTCAAATTTTTGTAGTTTGCAGTAATATAAAGTGGAGGTGATCACTATTCAGTAGATATACATGATCATGATGATACTGTATATTTACTATTTCTAAACAATTTGATCTCTTCATACCACAAAAATTAGACCCCATGAAAATTTGTGATTTCAATTACTAGTATCATATTTGAGTGCTTTACATCAGCACTTATGATTTACCTGTCTGCAAAACTGGTCTTTTACTTAAAATTCTGTGATATCAGATTGAATAACTCAAAAAAGCGTTTGTATGCTTCCTCAAATTAAGTGGTATCTAATGAGATTTAATGAGAGTGGCTTCAAAAATGGATATATACACTCCAAAAACCCTGTAAGTATAAACATAATAAATTCAAAAACCAAGGGCAAAGTAAAGTGGAACACTAGCTCCATCACAAAAGAGACTGATATATACAGGAGTACCAATACTTGCATACCATCTGTACTCTCTTACTCACTGGCACACTCACTTACACAAATCCACATAACTCATTAACTGCATCCCCTTCAACATCACTGCTAGGGAATATTAAATAATTTTCTCAAAGTAGAGTTCTATCTTAGGTTAGAAAGGGCAGTTCTTTCTTTCATAATAGGCCATAATGTGCATAGTATATTCAGTGACTAGACTGATATTATCTGTCCACTCTAACAGGCATGATCAAAAGTTCAATGTCAGTCAATGCATAGGTAATCTAAGATTACTAAGCTCACCTTGACGAAGGTAAAACAAAACTCAAATGAAAACAAAGCCCTGTTTTAGAAAAAAAAATTTTCTTCTTTGTCATCCTCAAATTTCTGGTTTGAGTACATATGTACAGCTTTTATAGCGAGCGCAGTGAGTTTGCGACGCTCGCAAGGCGAGCTCAAGAGACTAACGTGTAAGAACAGAGGAAATTCGGATTGAAATCTGTACATACGTCAGCCAAATTTCTTTGTGAAACATTCCCAGAATTCCTGCACTACCCAATGTCCTTTGCGCAAATAAATAAATAAATAATAATGTAAAGCATAAAAGGCTAGATCAGTCTGTAGAAATCTTTCAAAGAAACAAAAAATAACTCTACAATGTTTTTTAACCAAAATTGCACTTGGTCTATAGTTTCAAACAGATGCTCAGCTATCTTCGTAAGCTCAGACGAGCTCCGTGATGTCGTGTGACATCACAGCTAGTCGAGATGTCTCATGCGCCTTGATGTTTGAAGTGGCTGATCAAATTTTTAGAGTGTTTTTGATGGTACAACTGCACTCACCCCAACGGTCACACCGTAAAACATATTATCATAAAATAAAGAAAAAAAGGAAACCCAGAGATGGTGGCTACTCTTCAGTACAAAGTTGTAACATTTTGGACAACTTTACCTGTACAGTGCTAACCGTGTACAATTTCCTAATACTGGCTTCATATTGGGCTGCTGATGATCCTGGGATAGACCTACAAATAAAGTGAAAAAAAATTACAGCAAATAATGAAATCAGAATAACGTAAAATTACTGCTGAACTATATGATGAACTATTCACATTTGTACATGGATACATGTATAGTAATGTTATGTCAATTATTTACATCCTGCAAAGTATACTTTGATAAAAATCTTTCAAATAGCCTATGCAATAAAACTGTTCATGTTTATTTATGGAATTATGTAAACTTTGAAGTATGTAAAGGATAAACAATGATTATTTTCAAGTTACCACAAACAAAACTGTGTTAATTTGAAACATGTGAAAGTATGCATGGCATCCAAATGCATAATTTTTGTAATGCGATGTGTGCGAACTATTTGCACTCAGTGATTTTCATATATTCAACAAGATTGGATCCATCTTCAGAAAATTTAACACATTGTAAACTATGCAAGATTTCGGGTGATGCCCAATTAAGAACTTTAATCATTGCTGTACGTTTCAATAAAACCAACTTAAAAAGAAAGTAGGCCAAGGAATATTATAGACAATCGACTAGGAGTGAACGTCATTACTTATCAAGCCAAAATGTCCACTGTGTGTTTAGGGGTACCCCCGTCTGCTCCGAGCTGTGGATTTCACTGATGGCTGACCGCGGAAGCTGGGGACTGCCCACTGGACGGGCCTCAGTAGTTTTAATACTATCTACTGACTGAAGGCTAGATACCGCCATAACCGTACCAGGGCCGCAATCAGGTCATGTGATCAAAACAATTGACGTATTTTACTTTTCGGAATACCCTCGGGTTGATAATTTGGCGCCATCTTTCAAAAATTTTTTGTAGGCGGATCAAATGTACGTGTACGCGTCATCATGGTCAGCAGTTGCTTAGAAGCTGTTTGTATCAGCTACACCTAGCCTGTGTAATTTATGAGTCATATATGGAAATAGATTAGATTATGAAATGAAATTTCTTTAAACACCATTAAAATGCAGTACGTTTTCTTAGCTATGCATCCTCGCAAGCCAGGGGTCGGACCGTCCTGAGTCAAATGTAATGGCAACATGTTGACTCAGGACCCCTGGCTTGCAAGGATGTCTTTGCTCCAGTTTCTACCTCAGTTTCTTCACATTATTTCAAAATAATAATGCCTTGTAATTGAGGCTTCGGGGATATAGAATAGAATAGAATTTATTACCAATCAGGGCCCATTAGGCATAAACATATAACATATATAGCTTTCGCCCTGTCATTTCGTACCTTGTGTATATTATAATTTTTGAATGGGTGGGGCTATGGCTTCATATTCAATAAGTGTATTCCTTGTGAAATATCTTTCTTTGGGTAAAATCAAATTAGATCTTTTGACCTTGAAGTTTGACACACCTTTATTTACACAAAATTTTCAAAACGCTTACTTTGGCCATAAATTTTGAAGGACTTTCATACTTCACATATGTAATTCCTGCGACAGGACCTTTCTTTAGAAACCAACAACTTTAACCTTGACCCTGGAGTTTTACCTACCTTTTAAAACTTGTACGTATATACCTTGGCCATAACTTTGGAGCTGGTGATGCTTGGGTTTTCATATTTCACAATTTTATGAGTATGTCTTAATACTTAATACTTTGGTATCTTAATACTTTGGATACCAACATATTTGAATTTACATTTGGGAAAATATGAACTTCGCTATGTTGCCATACGGGACAAGCATCCACGTAGCAACAGGGGTGGGGGTGGGGTGCCAGGCTGAGGGGGCCTCTCCCTTTTTTTCTAAACAAAAATGTTGCTATTGGAAGTGTTAATTGAAAGGCCGGTTGCCACCCCTACTTTTGTTACGGTAGAGTGAAATGAGGGTAAAGTAGTATATTATAATGTATTAAAAAAAAATTGGTACTGAAAGAAGTTAGCCTAGGCCTCTAACCCCCCCCTCCCCTCCTTCACGAAATAGGATGTTCGAGTTTGAGCAATCCCCCTTTCTTTTTTTTTTTACACATCTCGTTTTATCTGCAGACATTGCGGTGATATCACATGTATGCAGGTCGAGTGCTAAATAACTTGAAGATTTTAAAACTTTAGTTTGTTAACCGAGAAATCATAGTAATTTGAGGTTAGAAATTTTTATCTTGACAATTTCGTAATTTATTCTCAATCAGTCAATAACTTTGTGTATCATTTTTAAGTATATCTGGCAAGTTATGAAACAAAAGAAAAAAAATATATATATATATATTATAAAATAAATTAAATACAATTAATTTTTAAAATCTTTTTCAAGGTTTTCAATAATTATGAATATATATAGCTTTCATTAATTGCACACAAAGTCAGTGGGTTTAAGCACATCCCATGCCTTTCCACCTACTGCGGGCGGTCCGCTACACACGATAAGGTGCGGATCTTGAATCAGGTTAGGGGAAGTATCCATTTTCTCCCTGAGCCACCTTAAGTTGCAGTCACAGTACCACGGATTAGAGTCAATAAAAAGAGAATTCAATTTGGTGAGATATTTCGAGTCGAGGGCCCCCGGGTTTAATGTGGTCAACATATTGCTCTGTAGCCACAGAGACCCGACGTTCTTAAGGGGATAAAAAGCCCCCAGCTCGATTTTACTGATATTGTTAAGATCTAGATATAGTGTGTCCACATGAGAGAGGCCGATAAATGTGTTGTTGGTCAATGTAGATTTTATGTGATCCTGCATAAAGTCTAACAGAGTGAGTTGTTCCAGTCCAAAGAAGGCGTTGTCTTCTATGGTTTCCACGGCGCCCTGCCAGAATGCCAGGGTTTGGAGATCGGGATAGTCTTTGAATGCGTAGGAATGTAAGGTTTTAATCTGATTGCCCACGTAACAGAGGTGCTGGATGCCGACAGGAATATCCCGAAGAACACTTTGCATTTGGTTGAATCGGAAATCAATGGATTGTATACTTCTACATTTAGAAAACACTTTCGGTGGAAAACTTGCATCTGTCAGTTTGTTGAAGCCGATGTACAGTGTTGTCAAGTTGATCAGGGGATCAAAAGTTCCGGGTTGGATTTTAAAAATGTTATTATTTGAAAGGTCAAGGTACACGATCATTGGGTAGGACACAAAGCTGTCTGTCTGAAGCGTTTTCAGCTTTCCGTAATACATTCTGTATGTGACCAGCTTCTTGGGAAGCTCTTTTGGAATAGTGGTATAATCTGTCCTTGACAAATCCACATCGGCCAGACTCGGAAGGTCAAGTGCACCTGCTTCAATTGACCCCTCCTTCAAGGGCGCTCCTGATGCATCGAGTGCCGTCAGGTTGATAAGTTTTGTAAATGAATTTCTTTTAATCTGATGGATTGGGTTATCGCCAATGTAGAGAATACGGGTGTCTATTGGAATATTTCCCGGGATCTTGGATATTCCTGTTCCGTTACAGAACACTTGACCTGGAGGTCGACAGTAACATGGTGAAGGACACATTTGACCTTGAACGGTCACGGTCCATAGCACGGTCACACATGTAATGAGAAATCTGGTCATAGCTGTATTGGTCGATTTGTAAATTATCTGAAAAGAAGAGTTTTCAGGGAAATATAGTATTTATGAAATACAGTTGTTGCAATAATGAAAGTTCTTTAAACTGAAAAAAATATAAAAAATTAAGTTGATATGAATTCAATTTACTTTGTTACCTTTATAGCTGGATATGCCCTGAATATTACCGATGTTTAAATTATTTTGATAAACATCGTTGATAATATGCTGCACATATCTAGAGTAAACTGGCAAATATTTACATGTATACCCCTTTATCTGATACTGAGTAGCAACTTAAAAAAAATGACAGAATTCTTTTTGATACATTAAAAAAAACTTTATTAAATACAAATGAAAACGCTTTATATGCTTAATTAAAAAAATATATATTTCATCTATATAAAAAGCGCTAATTTATTATTGTATGCTTAGCCACTTTTGATTTTCTCCTTCGACTATCCGGAAATATTTTAGTGTTTCGTTTGGTTTTTAATTTACCGTTCTAGGTTTGTTTCCAGTGTAATTTCAACAATAACATGTGCAACAAGGCAATGATCGTCAACTAATCAATATTGGGGCATTTAGTTTTTTCCTTAATTTTTTTTTGACAATGGCAGCAGAGGTCATCCCATGTGGGCTTTATCCAGACTGCAGCATGACTTTAATGTTATTTTCAGACGTGGAGAATGCGACAGAAATTCGAAAATCTGTCATGAGTGGGGAATTTGAAGCAGCTCTCTTGAAAACATCTATGGTACAGATTAATTGATTTATCCATTGTATATTGTTTAACGTCCCATTCGAGAATTTTTTACTCATGTAGAGATGTCACCATATACATGTACCGGTGAAGGGCTTCAAATTTTGACCTTTACTCAGCACTCAGGGCCTTTGAGCAGTGAGGCACATCTTTATCGTGCCAACGCCTGCTCTGACACTGGGACCTCGGTTTTTAAGGTCTCATCCAAAGGACCCGCAACTTTCACTTCAAGTACCAAGTGCATGGCGAAGGAACAGTTGCTACCCATTTTTTATCACCTTACATGTAGGTCAGTCGCGGCTGAGATTCGAACTCACATCCTCCCAATCATGGAGTGAGCGCTCCTCCTACTGAGCTACCCTTAACAGTCTATGATACAGATCAACATACATGTGATATGTACCGGCTGTACAGGAAATGTCCCATATTTTCGACCCCATCACGGTGTCCCGGCGGTACACAAAAATTCACGGGAAATGAACATGTATATCGTATTTTGAAATGTTTACTGGAAACTGCCATTTTTCTTTCATTCCCGTTCTCGCAAAACCGGAAATCTGGAACTATGCGTGACTTACTGCACTTGATTAATGTATAAAACAAAACATTATGAACGAAGGTGTGAAATATTCCCATGATAATTACATCCTAATTAGGAGATATCAAAGCCTTTTGTTTGGCTGATTGCTTGACCTTTATCAAGGATTTTTTAAACTGTAATTTATTAAAACTTGCCAAAACTTGACATTTCAAAGAGAAATGAAAATGCCATTCACAAGAATCGGAGACACTTTGTGACAGCAAAACGAAATTAAGTCCATTATTTGATTAGGCATACGTATTGTCTATTCAAACTCAGATTAAGAGAAATGTTTTTTTAGTACAATTTTAAAATTTCAGCTGAATGGAGACAACCAGACTCATACAATAAACTGCTTTTAAACACTACTTTTTACTAAGTTCAGCATTTAGCTTAGTTTAATGCCGAAATTCAAAATTCTTCAAGAGTTTCTTGAAATGAATATTAAATCATAATGAATGTTGTGCAGTGGTGCAACTGAACATTGATTTGAAATTTATTATTCAAAAATAAACACCTTACATTGTTTTTTTGGTTGATATTTTGTACCGTTTTTTGTACAGTTTTTTGATTAGCAATGTACAGTATTTTCACCCAAAGTCCAGTGTTTTGAAGACTGCTGTACAGTATCTGGGTCTAGAAATTATCACATGTATGGATCAATATGCATATATCTTGATTATCTTTTATTTATTTATTTTTTAAAATTGTAACTGGTCAGATTTTTTTTAATGATTCAGCAGTCTTTTTAGTGTTCATCTTTCTAGTTTAGTTGTTCAGAAGTTTAATAAATAAACACTAAATGCTCGGAAGTAGCATCTTTTTTTTTTTGAAAAGCGGGAGGGGGAGAATAACAATTCAACCTACCTTGAGTTACTAGTAATTAAAAAACCTGGCATGCAAAAGAAAAATAAAGTAAAGAAAAGGAAAACTTTATAAACTCAAGAATCCTGGGGCATGGGGGTGAACACTACTACATTACCCTTATTTGACTTTACCTCAACAAAAATGGGGTACAGCCTTTCAAAGAACATTTTCAATAGTAAGTTATGAGAAAATGTCCTATGTGCCTGACATAGAATCTACTAATACCATTTTCCATAGATATGAAATTACATGTATATCTTTAGATAAACTTTTATTTCTCAACACAATCTGAGAAAATTCAAGGCAATTGATTTTTAGCTCTACTGGTCAGAGACCAGAAGAGCTTATGCGATAGTAATGTGTACGTCGTCCGTCCGTCTGTCTGTCTGTCCGTCTGTAAACAATTTTTCAAAATGCTACTCCTCCTACAGTTTTGGACTGATTTCAATATAACTTGGCACACAAGTAGACTACACTAAGATACATAATTCTGTTTATCGGTTTTTAATTTCGATGAACGGTGTTGCCGTTGTTACTAAAAATAGAAATTTTTGTGAAAATCATTAAAAATGCTACTCCTCCTACAGTTTTAATCTGATTTCAATATAACTTGGCACACAAGTAGACTACACTAAAATACATAATTCTCTGTATCGGTTTTTAATTTCGATGAACGGTGTTGTCGTTGTTACTAAAAATAGAAATTTTTGTGGAAATTATTCAAAATGCTACTCCTCCTACAGTTTTGATCTGATTTCAATATAACTTGGCACACAAGTAGACTACACTAATGTACATAATTCTGTGTATCGGTTTTTGTCATTATTCTAGGCCATAAAAAATAAATTGCTAGATTCTCATTCGATTTTTTTTAAAGATCGAGGCGGGCGGGCGGCTTTTATTTTGTATTTTGTATTTTTTCAATTCTGCACATTTTTTATTAACCTGGTCAATCGGTGTAATTTTATATACAATACCCGAATAAAAGTCGTAGTAAAGGTTCAATTATCTCTTACTTCACATCATCACCAATCTTTTTCAACCTATGACCCTTGTTTAAAATATATACGCATGTATTGCAGCAATTACCATATTTTCAGCTGTCAAAATCATGTCGACTTTCGCGGAATTTAAAACGAAAGTAGAATGGTAGATGAATACAGATCCTGATCAGAATTAAGAAGAAGAAAAATAGAAATAAAAAAAATCGAGGCGGGATATAAAATCAAGGCGGGCGGGGATGAGAATCTAGGAATATTTTTATTATGGCCCTATTTATTGCTTTTGTAAAGTTTTATATCCTTACTGCTACTTTTCTCTTTCTTTATTATAAGTACAAACCAGTAGAGCTTCAGTCTCGACAGAGACTTCTGGTTTGAAATAATTATTGTTGTGGTTTTTTTTTTCTTTAATACAGATTTTAGAGCCATTTCAAGTGATTGTTGCTGCAAACAGGGCCATTCATCTACAAAGAGTTAACAAAATGATGACCAAAAATGTACACTCTGAAGTTTTGTTTAGTCTTTCCCCAAGTAAAAATGTAAGTTAATTTAAAACCATTTATATCCTGCATGTAAATTAAAGTTATACTGTCAATTAGGAACCTAATACGGGGTCACACAGGGTGTGAAATGGAAATCCTTATTGGGTGAGGCAAAGCCAAATCAGAGGTTAAAGGTCCCTAACTGACAGTGTAACCAATTTATCCCACTGAAGACCTTTAAAAATTTTAAATGTCATAAAATCATGTAGATTTTATGTGTCGTTACTTTTGGATCATCCATCAGACAGGAAATTTGCAATGCTTTTCTTACGAAAGGTGTAACAGTCTAAATGTCTTGATCTTTTACAGATTTCAGATTCCTTCCGTAAGTTTGGTGTAGCAGACAGTGAGACATCAATCTTTGTGGTTATAGTCAATGATACAGATGGCGCCACATGTCAGGCAGTGAGGAACAAGGTTAAAGGTCAAATTACAGATATAAATGAGGTCGGGAAATACTCAGATTTACCAACAATCAAGAAGGTCAGTTAATAACTATTTTGTCATAAAAATGATCCAAAATAAAAAATTGAATTATGTCATAAGTTTCAGTAAAAAAAAAAGAATGATTATCTTTGATATTAGCATGAATTAAATTGATATTAATGACAATACATATCTTCTTTAAATTTGAATTTTATGCAGTCATGATCCACATACATGTATAAACATAAAGAAAATGGACTTCACTTAATTATAAATAAAGTAATATTTAATAGGCAGACTGAATTTTACAAAAGAATATTTGTTTTCTTTATTTGCAGGTTTACAAGATTTCCGACACTGAGCTATCAGCCTCTAATCCAGTTGAAGCCATTGTATCAAGAATAGCCAGTAAAGACATTGTTACAGTGTGACCTTTTTTGACCCCATTATCTTATTGTACCAACATTGTGACACTTTGTGAGTTCTTTTTAAAAAGTATGTGTATAAATGTATATTTAAGGGGAATTTGATAAGAAAATATATTATCCGGGTACTTTTGGACAAATTGGACAGGTTCTCCTCTGAAAAATTTACAAAAATGTGAATTTCATAAGATATGTTGTAACAACTATATAGAAATTGACAGGTCCTTGATACTTCTTACATGTACATGAAATCAAATCATCTGCAGTACTGAGTAGTGACTTTTGTTTTATGTTGTAAATATTTACGTTTACTAATTAAGCTGTACGTACCTACCTGCTTCAACAGCATTCATATTTAAATTTACTTCCCATATCAGAAAAAACTGGATTAATAAAATAATTTTCTTTGTACATGCATTATGTTGTTTTTTTTTCATTTTATACATTTGTCATGATCGAAAGCTCCGAAACAGTTGATTGTACTTCAGTGTTTGAGGATTATGGCTAGAGATGTCTATTTTTATGGCAGCTAGAAAACTGCACTACTGCATGTATCATGTAAATTCCATGCGTAATTCTGATACAGGCATCATTTTAGGTTCCAGGCATGATTTTTTTCCGGTCGTCATTTATTTTTCCGGGCGTAGCTCATTTGCATTTTTCGCCTCAAATTCCTGCCCAATTCCTCTTGGTTTCTGCTTGGGTTACGCCGGGAACTTGTGTATCACCACATATGTAGAGAGACAAACTGATGCCCGGAATTCCTTCTCCAAGTACGCCTCTATTCCCCCTATATTCTGAGCGGAAAAATTCGTACAGATCTGATTCGAGGGCGTGGCGCCCCTCTATTTCCCCCTAGCTGGAACACTGTATGCATACAGAAGATCTTCAATAGATTTCCTCCAACAATACAAACCAGTAGAGACATATGATCAATGTTCTGGGATTTCTTTATTTTCTAGGCTATATTCTAGACAGTTCAATCCCCCCCCCCCCAAAAAAAGAAGGAAATAAAATGCAAGGGATCAGTCTCTTTCATGCATTTTCCAACCACACAACCATGCCTGATCTCCAAGAAGAAATGAGTCTCCTTGTTATACACTGTAGTTGCCGCATTTTTATCTGTATAGTTTTTTTAAACAATGGGTATTTTTTATTAACCAATGGATTAAAGTGTAAGATAACTTTTTCGTTAAAATGTTTTCAATCCGCGTCTCTTTTCTTTTGTGCATGACCGATTGAGACGAACTTTTTATTTATTTGGATAAAAAGCCAAAAAAGGTGATGTTGTATTTTGCATTCTATCACGAGTTATCGCCCTTGACACGGAGTCGTTGGGAGAGAGAGCTAGGCCTAATCTCGCCGAAGCGGAGCGTAGAGCAGGGTATGCTTTAAATTATGTAAGTATTCTTGAGGAAAAAAACACTGTTGTAGCATGAACATACAGAGCTATATGACACATTATAAATCGATAGCATCCATTAGGGCCTAGGCAATGAAGATCGACAGCTGCAATCGTCTGACTCGAATTTCCTCTGTTTAGCGGGGTGTGTCGTGTTAGACGGCGATTTGGTATATGGTACATCATGTACGTGGTAGGCCTACTGTGTTTTGATAATTGGTGTATTATATGTGAATGTTTTGATGCACCTCAGTTATGAATGAATAATCTAAAGGCCTTGTCAAGTGTGCATGATTATTGTGGATTTGTATATGTGCATGATAATCAATCAAAATAATAAAGTACACACACTGTAAATCAGGCACGAAGAGGAGAATATTACACTTTTAATGGGAGAGGAGAAAAATGCAGCGAACCAGACAGGAATTCGAACCCAGGCCTCCAGAATCTCCTGTCAGGTGCTTTACCGAGAGCTATCTGGCCACCGGTGATCAAACCCTGCTGACCGCCACACGATTCCTCCCTCCTTAAATGTCTTCGGTCCCTCAAAGACTCCAACCCAGGCTCAACCCTGGCAGGCCTCTCACCTGTCAGTTCCAGGGCATGGCACGGCACCAAATGTAGCAGGAGAGGAGAAGCTTGCAGAGGACCAGACCGGGATTTGAACCCGGGCCCCCTGAATCTCATATTTATATGGAAGCATCTTTAGGTAGTGTAGATTTAAGTTTGTTCAAATTGACCCCCAGGGGTAGGCAGGTGCTCTTCCAACTGAGCTATCCGGCCACTAGCGATCGAACCCGGCTGACCACCACACACTCAATTAGGCCTAGCCTTAATACATGTTTTATCACTACATGTACTCATTTATGCTGGTGTACCATGTAACTTACATGCAGAAATGTTCAATGAAAATTATGCTTAATTATCCAGTATTACCATGCAGGGACCTATATACTAAGTATAGTAGGTCTCTGATAATACTGTGACTTTTCTCAATATTTTATAACTGCATATCATGTGTATTACAATACACATCCTCCAAGTGCAGTGCTAATAGATAATTACCTATAGCAAATAATTTTTTTACATGACAACTCAAAAAGATTTTCAAGGATTGATAAAGATATTATTTAACAAATTGTGGTCAAAGACATATTAAAAAAATTTAATGTTTCCTTTACCACTTGTGTTCAAGAAGTAGATATATTTCTTTTATGTAACAAAACAAAGGGTTGTGTGGGGGTTTGGTTATAACTTAAAGGTGTATAGTAATAAAGCATTCAGCTTGAAGCCTCTGTGATGTAATATGGTTCAATGTGGGGGACAGACTGGGTGGCCATTATGTGGGTTTTCTTTATTCTGTTAAGTGATAATGGCTAAACCCAATGAAACCTGTATGGTGAGAGCAGGTACAATATATTACACACAAAAGGATTTTACTACCACCTTACACTAGTTATTCTAGTAGGTCGGGTCTTAACAGGTAAAATATTTAGGCATTCATGTATTATGTATTTAAGTTTTTGTGGTTGATGCATGTTAAATTTTTCATATTTTTAAATCGTCTGATCTAAAAGCTAGTTGAAAGTTTAAATTTTCAGCAAATTAACTGCGCATGCATGAAAAGAATGTCAAGTGCTCAGGTCTGATTTTTCAATTAATTTCACTTTATTTAAGAAATTTGATAATTGAATATTACAGTGTATACATATTAATTAATCAAAAGAATACTAATTTTTCAATCTTTGATTATTCTGGTAATATTTATGAAGACATCTATACTTATAAAAGCTAGCTAAATATACCCAAGAGGTTATAAGTCAATCTGACATGTGGGAAAGTTTAAGGTGTTTAGTATGCATTGATGTCAGACCGGTTTGATTTTTGAGTAATCTGCTCAGGTGAACAAACTGTCAACAGATGAATGCGTTGTGTGATAAAAACAGCTCTGTGCCCACAGGTGCAGTGACAAAACCAGGGGCGTGTGCAGACCAAGTGAACTTAAGGATTGTCCTATGTAGGTGTGAATTTACCGGTGAAAATTTATAATCTGCAGAACTTGATCAGTAAAACTCTTGTTGTTTATCCAGAATTTACTTCTGAAAGCTGTGGGCGATCAGGAATCTACTTAACATAGATTTTTAAATCGCCTGAGTCAGTCGTTTTAAGTTTTTATAATGTCTGAATTGTTCAAACAACAGATGCACTCATCGGAGAGGGTATGCTTATATATTTCTGATATAGGTTATTATCAAAAAATTCATAAATAGTTATAGGATATGTTACACAATTTATACTTTGTTTTGAGATACATGAACTGGTATGCTTATATATTTCTAACATAGGTAATAATTAATCCTGTAAAGTTAACAGATAGTTATCATGTTTATAGGATATGTACACAGTTTAATATACCAGTACTTTGTTCTGAGGTACATGAACTCATGTGTTTGAGGTCAATTCATTGAACAATTGGAATATACGAGTAGGCCTATATTTACATAATTTCAAAAAGAAAAGTTTGTGCTATGATTAATAGTATATTTGAAAAATACATGTACCTGTATTCATTTTTCAAATTAAGTTGTTTGAACTATATGTACAGACAGTGTACATGTTCTTAAAAATGAAATGCAATTTTTCTATTCTATTTCTATTCTTATTTAATTAAAGGTTTAATTATCTAAGGTAAATATCAATATTTCAGAAATGGCAGGTAACTTAATATTAAGTTTTCCACTTGACTGATAATCATAGTGTTGAATTGATTTGTATCTTTCTGAATAATTTCCAATGACTTGTTTTGTGTTGAATTAATCTAAAATATGACATATTTATATGCCATTAAACCATCCTTTGAGTAGCCTAGAGTAGAAAGAAAAATAAAAGAAACAAATCAAATTAATACTTGTAGTACAATTTTTTATTAATATTAGAATAGAAGTTATTTGACCAATTGGATAAAAGTTACAAAGTCCACCACTCAAAAATTAACCAAAAATAATTGTCCAGAAACTTGGGACAAAGATCTACTTAAGAAAATGATAATTATGCAGGTTCTCCTCAGAGTTTGTATGTTAAATTTGTTATACAACTTTCGCAACAATTTTTCACTCATATGAAGACCCAACCTCTCGTCTGTGGAGAGCTGCAAATTTTGTCCTATACTCAGCACTCATGGCCATCGAGCAGCATTAGGGGATCTTTAACTTTTTTGTGCCATCACCTTATGTCTGGGACACGGGACCTCCATTGGTTTATAGGTCTCATCAGAAGGACAGGTCTCCATGTCCCACAGTGGGATTTGAACCTGCAACATAAGGATCAATTAACTCCTTACTTTGTGACTCTAGAGCAGATGCTCTCACCACTACTCCATTTGGGCAATGCTCCTCTGAGTAAAAACCTGTTTTTATACTGCATCTGATAGAAATGAACTTCTTTGGATGACTGTAGCGGTCCTTCTGAAAGTAGACTGACTACCCAGTAATTTTCATTGTGAATAACTAGAATAGGTAGGCTGTATTGTAATTGGATTATAGATTGAGGGTGCTCTATTAGTAAGTTAGACTTCTTATTCGTTTCACTCAAACGAACATAAAACATTTATGAATTACTAGTAAACACAAACTCGTGAAATAGGATATGAAGTGCTCTGAAAGTGCAGTTTAATTATTACACACAATACATATTACATCTCTTTTTCTATTGTCCTCATCAATGTCCGAATTCTACAAAATAGAAAATAAATATTTTCAACAAAGTATAAATATAATATAATATTCAAAACTAAGCAATGGGTGGGTGGGTGGGACTTATAAGACTGCACGAAATAGAGCCTTCGAATGGCTTTCCCTATACAGAATTTCTTTCACGGTCACTAATAGCCTGTGCTATGAATATTTATGTCACCTGAGTAGGTGACCATTCTAACAGCCAATAGATGACAAGAATAAACAAACACAAACACGTGTTTGCGTAACATTAATAAATACGTGAATGGACAGGAAACCTGTGGCTTATAACAATGCTACTTCACATGCTGCAAAAAACTTAAGAAATGGCATTTAAATGGGAAGTCTGGGCTAAGACTAAGAGATTTTCTTCTATTTCATAATATTTATAGTACAGATATGTAGTAATGTATTAGATCTGTTGACTGTCAACTTGTTATGTAACTGTTTGTAGTCTTGGATAGTTTTTCTTACTGCTTTTGAACTACATAATGTAGGTAACATTTGATCAAGTGAAAGTGAAGGCTTTCATATCAGGTCATGGTTTACAAAAATTATATTTCCGCATACAGACCATTACTTTTGAATCTAAGTCTCTTTTATGCCATGTCACAAAGCCGAAGTGGCATGTCCATGTATTGGTAACTATATAGTTCATTACACTCCTACTAGGTCCCTTTCCCAATCTATGTCAGTTTCAGATAGTCCAAACAACACTTTTGCTATTGGAGGCAGCCTGTATTGGAGTCATGATGTCTCTTTGTCAATGTGCAACAGTCTGTAAATTAGTAGATGCAACTTTCCTTCAGAGTCAAGGCTTTAGTGAACTTTTATTGAGTAAAGTCTAAACAAAGCTTCTGACCAACATATTTTATGCTTTGTAATTTAGGAAGCTTTTTAATAGCATGTTTAGGTTCATTCCAAGTATATTTTGTGTCACAGTGACATATCACACTTCAAAACTAAGTTTTCATAATTAAAAAAATTCAGATGCAGGATGATTGTATTTATACATAATATATTTTCACATAATAATTATTAAATTCTACACAAAGTTCTGCAATAAGAATTTTGATTATTTTCAGACAAGAAGTGAAGAAGTGGAGTTGAGAAAGAGAAGAATGAGGAATCTCTAATTTACAGGTGGGTGTTTCGATGATTAACATTCAACAATACAATAATATTTTTTTTAACTGACAGAGTATTAAATGAAAAAGATGGAATCTGTGACAGCATATTTGGGGGGTAATTTTTAATGGTTATTTTTGTTCGCGTTTGTTAGTTAAATTGAAAAATCTAGAAAGTTAATATGTTAAACTCTGTCTAACAAGTATAAGAAGGAGATAAACGTTTAGCAACAAGGCGTAAGTAAAATGAGTAATGATCCCTGGGAGGGCTGGTGTTGTAAAATCCAGACCAAGCAAGCCTGTGTGGCTGGGGGGTGTAAAACGTCGGCCAGGGTTCCCAGCAACAAGGGATGAGATTAATGTCTCCTAACAGCTCACCGACGTCAGTCTAACAAGCCACTGACTCAGGGTCCGGGACGTGCAGACTTCAGCCCAGGAGCTTTTGAAGTCTAGTGACGATTTTAATTTTGATAATCGTGACTGAGTCTGGTCTGTAGGAAGTACATCGTAATAATTTGGGAGGAGTTGTTTGTTGTGTAAGAGATCACATGATCCCGGGCTATAGGAGGACAATTTGTCAGCTTCCTAGCAGGCTTCTGAAGTAGCACTAGGTTCAGCTCTGTAACCCAGCAGCTTTTAGTTGCTCAAACACTGTGGAGATAGCTAGATGTGAATAAAACAGAGATTTGGATACAGGCGGATTTAGTCAAAATTTTGGATGGAGGTAGAAGGTGTCAATGGTCACACTATGGAAAATTCTACTGATAAAAAGTTGTAAGTCTTTCCCCCATTTCTTAAAAAAAAAATTACAGAAATTTCTTAATATATCTTCAGAAATGAATTTTAGATATTCAGATTACCTGAATGAGAAATTAAGGGGGATGTACGGCCACCTTTAGTGCAGTGAGAGCAAAATGTAAACATTTCTTCAAATGGCTAAAATACATTATATTTTGATCAAATTTTAAGTCTTTTTGATAAAGATACAATAAATATGCATAACCGAATGCATGTTGTGCATATATAATCTATACTTTTGCAGAAAAATGCTTTTGATATGCTCCTTAGAACTGCGCAGCTACAGAATTCAGCAGAGCCTTAAAAAATCCAAAAAAATATGCAAACTGTGCATTAATGTTCTCTCTACAACCATTTGTTGAGAAAATGTCTAAATTTTGCACTTTTAAATGATAATTTCAAGTTCAAAACAAGGTACCATTGTCTTCAAAAAGAGTGAAAATAACCATGAAAGTAGTTCATGGATAGCAGCACGTGGTCTATTTTTAGCACAGAATCTTGTTTTCCAGACCTCTTCTTAATATGGAGGGGCATAACAATCTTTAAATGTAGAAGAGAATTACAGTTGCAAAATATTTCAAATAATATGAACACTTTTAAAAAAGGAAAGGTGTTATATTGTGGCTTGAAGTAATTTATTTAGTTTGAACATAAATATTTTTTTCTATTTGCCCATATTTTCAAAATTACAATTGTACAAAGTAAAGAGAAAAAATCAACCTATAAACATCTTTAAAATGATGTTTGGTGGTCCTCCCAACTCAGGGAAAAATTATTGGGTCCGTATTTATAGGTGAAAAAAAAAATCCTTAAAATTTAAACAGAATTGTTTACGGAAGAAAAAGAAAAAAATACCGTGTAATGGAATGTTTAAAAAAATGAGTCGGGTCATTTCTAGGCAGTAGATCGGGAGAGAGGGCAACCAAATATTTTTATAACAAGTGGTATTATAAGGCTAGTACATGTTCCATCACATACTTAGTAATGCAATTTTTTTTTAATCTTTGACACTATTTTGAAAAACAAACAAAGGATTTTCGGGGGAGGGGGGGGGGGGTTAGCACTCACTTTTTTTGCGATGATAGACATAGCATATGCAATGGACCTTTCATTGCAAACATTGTGCTTGCTTCTAAATCTCATAGAAACAACTCTTTACATTTTATCAAGCTTCGTATGTTCAATGAGCGAGAGCTTACAACGTTGTCAACATAATGAGACATGATGCGTTTTTGTGTCCAAACATGACCCCATACAATGTGTGGGTCATTGCAAACAATCTAGCTATTTATGTGAGGTGCCTGAAGGAAATCCTATAAATGCCTATTTTTTTCTATCTAACTTATAAACAAAATAGACATATGTACCAACTTTTCAAATGTAAGACATATAATTACAATTTATTTTTCATGCACTGCGTATTGTTTAACATTTTCAAATTAAATGCTAAGCATCCTCCTTGCAGTGCCCCATTTGAAAATAACTTCTATCGGAAAAAAGACCCACCGTAAACACATATGTTTAGGACATTTTTATCTTTTTTTCTTGAGTTTTAAAGAAACCAACAAATTATCAAGACTTGTTCCATGAAAAATTAAATATAATCATGGTAATAAACGGATTTATCCACAGCAGATATATGCACATGCCAACCATGTGGTTAGTGGAATAATTTTAGCGAGGCGAGTTGTAAACAGAACAGTTTTTCCCGATTTGCTGGGGTGGGGTTAAAATCGCTTTTTTTTTTCATTAATCAGACGATGCAATGTAACAAATAAAAGTAGTAAGTAATATAACCTAATGATTATTACTTAGTAATTTCTTGTCTTGGTGTTATTATGGTCGCATTTATTCTAAAATCATTGTTATTGAACTCTGTGTGACAGAGGAATGGCGGACGAAATAAACACATGGCCTCAGGAAGACACCCATATGAAAAATCAAATTTTCAAGAATTATGGATAATGACAAGAAAAAAACGAAACAAATGGTTGTAGCCATATTATCAATGAATCAAACTAACTCCATTTTCAATGCATTTTTCATCTCATGAATGCTGTAGCTGCGCAGTTCTAACATGATTAATTTTCTTCTAATTAAGACAAAATAACCTTAATTGTTTACTAATTTTAGTCTCTAACAGTCGATAATTAGTGCATTAGCACTCTGAGTAACTTTGAGCTAGTTTAGTAGAGTATTAAGCGCATTCTTGGTATTTCTTAGTTTACACCAGACTAGATCCAATATGGCTTGTACATCCCCCTTAAGGTAGCAAGGGAAACTATCAATATACATGTACATTTGTTTTATATACCATGCATACTTTCATTTGACAGGGGTTTTTAAATATGATTGTCTGAGATAGATTTTATGTATATTTCTATATATGTTTAAATTGTTCTTTTGTAACTAGGAAATTGTAAAATGTCAGTATAATTTAGATAATTTTGTCCCACAAAGTCCAAACAAAATGTAAAGAAATTGTTAATGGTTTATTGCTTGCTTAGTAAATTTGATTTGAATGATGCTGGTAACATACAATTATTTACAGATGTAACCGGTACTACATACTGTCAGTGTCTGTCTATTACCGTAGATATAATGTCTTACCAATATTGCCTCTTACATGTCTTTAAAAAAAACAGATTCCTGATATTTTGAACTATTCTCTATTATTGTTGCTTAGAAAATGAAAATTTAATCATGGTCTAGCTTTTGATAGATGAAGTCAAAAATCACAAAATAAAGTTCTGTGGAGCTACATTGTCTTCCCACTTAAAAACCCTCTACCTTAAAAGGCAAATCTTTATCATCTATAACTTTGAAAGATTTAACATTTTTAACATGTTTAATATAAATTGAAATATTTTTTTAAGTTTCAAAATTTCATATGAAGCTGTGTTAACTTTTGTGGAATATTAAGGGAATTTTGAGAGTTAGGAAAGAAAAATAAAAACTTCTGATGGTGGACAACCCCCACCCCCTCTTTTTGACTTTTTTAAAGTATAACCCTATTTTCCAATTTACCAAGTAGAGTAGTGAAGCAGTGTTTTCCCTTTATTTTGAAGGAAAGGGTTAGAGATCAGTTGTAACATGCTAAAGGTTGAGGTTTATGACAAATCTCTTTGGACCTTGCAATAATTTAATTTGAATTTCATATTTCAAAAGCAACAATTATATAAATTGAAGTGGTCAATTTGGCCAGTAGCTGGCTCTGAGGAAAAATACTGCTTATAAAGGTACAGTGTAGTATTAAAATATTACAGTTGAAAATATGCAGCTTAAACATCTGAAAGTATGTAGTTAGGTCTATACCTACAAAAAATTCTCCGTTTTTGTTGAGACATTGTAAGGTGTGAACTGTCCAATTCTTCAATTAATTATCTGAAATGTTAACATAATTAATATTTTACATTGGGTGGACAACACCGGTCACTGATAAGTTACATGTGTCTTTTCACGGACAGTGGTCAGGATTGCATGTGTGGCCCGAGGGTCTAGGGTTGTCGGTGAATGTGTGACTGATATAGTCTCGTTCCGCCCTTTCACACCTGCGACTACTAATTAATGTCCACAGAGAATGGGATTAAAGACGGGGGTCCATTTCTCATAACTTACCTCATGATAGAGGAATGATAACAACGGGGAATAAAGATGATTGTTTTTGACATATACCATGTACACTAGCTATACAGCTATATACTGACAAAGTTATCTGAGAGCCTTAAATTTGCTTGTTTGTTCATTATTATTATTATATTAGAGTACCAGTTAGATAGGAAATTTACCACTTTTAGTACCAAATTAAAACAAACAATATCAATCTTTAAAAGAAGAATTGAAAATAGTTTTTAAGGGAAAGAACAGAACAGTGGTTTTTCAAGCCAATATTCTAGAGTTGATGAGGTACATCACAATGAAAGACTAACTTCTCCAACTTTATTTATTTTTTTGTAACTCAAGAGTGATAGTTTATTTCTCTAGCTGAAATAAATGTGTTGTAATTATTTGGATGCAAAATAATTTTCATATGATGATCATTGAGGACAAAAATTAAGCATATTGATTTTTCTTTCACCTCCACCTTAAATAATTCTTAAAGCAATGTGGGGCATTGGCCACACTTGCTACTGGGCTATTGTTGGTCCTCGATCATTTCCATTCCTTAAGCTATGTGGGTCACATCTTATTTCCTTAAGTATAAGCAATGCGGGCCACCGTAATGTTTATAGCAATGCCAGTAATCGTCTCCTGTTATTGGGTCACCAGTTTTCAGTCAATAAAAGTAATGGGACTCCGCTGTTGCATATTATAATTTATAATGTAGCTCACAGAGACAATATGAAAAATTGTCAAAATTTAGCATGAAAAATAATTATTTACATTTAGCTGTTATGTTCTCTTAAATAGTATGTAAAGATATTAAAAAATTTGTTAATATACATTTTAAAAAATGTGTTTTTATTTTTTAGAACAAATGGAGTCAATGGTAAAACAAAACCAGTAAAGAGTGAAGGGAAATTTATCTCACAGATCAAGAAAAATCTCACGCAAGGTAAAGAACCAGAGGGAGAGCAAGAGAATTGTGGATCAGGGAATTCCAAGAACCGGCCCACCAAAACCACAGAGAAAACAAAGACCAATAGCTCCTCAGTGTTTAGTCGACTCAGCGAACCAACCATCAGTAGTGCCAAAAAATCAGTAAAATCTGCTGAAACTGCTAAACCAAACACCAGCAAGGGAAGTAAACCTGCCCCTGGGAGTGGAAAAGATAGCCCAAAGCCTTCAGTTGCCAAAGACAATGTGGGTACTAAGAAACAGCCACCACCTGTAGCTGAGAAACCAAAGAAAAGCTCAGAGAAAGAGGTGATTGGTGAGATTCAGAAGAAAACCAACGAATCAGGTGTCAAGGGTGAACAGGAGAAGACTGAAGAGGAAGTTAAACAATCGGAAGAAAACATCGCCGAGGCTGAGGTAGAATACCCGGAAATCCTAGAATTTAATCGTGAGCAAGCACAGGAAGAAGAAAGGGCACAGTTAGAGGTTCAGAGTGCTAACGAGGAAATAAGACAAGATTTAGGTGAACCTTCAATAAACCAGTACCTTACTCTGAAAAATAACGTATTTGAGGATCAGGAGTCCACTTTTTGCACCTTAGACATTAACGGTAAAATGGCCACTGCTGCAGTAGATCCCCAGGATGAAGAAGGATTGCCACAAAACCCAACAGAATGTATTGTCATCTCAGAAAACAAAGTCAAGTACATCAACACTAACTTCAAGAAAGTATCAGCCAAGATGTACGACTACAAGTGTGACATCAAGCTCAAAGTTGGAGACCAGAACTTCAAAGCTCATCGAGATGTTCTATCAGAGGCAAGTGACTATTTCTCTGCAATGTTCTCACACAATATGAAAGAGAAAGGCCAAGATGAAATAGAACTAAAAGACATTAGTCCAAAAGGTTTTTCAGCGATGCTGGATTATTTCTATCATGGTCATGTGACTCTTGAACCATCCAAAGTGGAGGAGGTTATAGAAGGAGCTAGGTACTTTCATGTGGATTGGCTTTTGGAGGTCTGCTGTGAGTTTCTCATCCAGCATCTAAGCTTGGATAACTATAATGCTGTGATGGAAATTACAGATAAATACTACCTTGGTGATCTGCGATGGGATATTTTCAGATTCATTGGTCAAAATCTTGGTGAACTGACTCAACAGCCAAGTTTCTTTGAAAATCTCTCTCTGGAACTGCTTTTGCAGTTTCTTATGGAGAACATTTATACAGAAGCTTCAGAGTTCTACATTTTGGATGTTGTGTTAAGATGGGTCAATGCAGATGAACAAAATAGGAAGGAACATCTTCTCTCTCTTCTACGCCAGATAAGATTTCACACGATGGAAGCAGAGGAACTTGAGTCAGTTCCACCAGAGGTCCTGGAGTTCCCAGAAATACGTGAGATAATTGAGGATGCCATGAATTACAGTCTTAACATCATGGGCCAATGTCTGAAGTGTGGAGATATGTACAAGCAGAGAGGGGCAAGACCCGTGGTAACCATCCTTGCTTTCACGGATGATGCCAATATCTTGGTGTACAGAGATCCTACCAAGTGTGGTCTCTTTGTGGAGGAATTAGGCCCTTGTGGGTTGGACACTGCAGCCTACCAAGCTATGGGTCAAGCAAAGATTGGAAACTTCTTATATGCAGCAGGTGGATATGATGATAAATACTGTACTGTAGGAAGGGTCTTCATGTTTGATCCAAAATATCGAGGCTGGACCGAGGTGGCATCAATGAATGAACCAAGAGTTTCATTTGCCATGTGTAACTCTGACAACAGACTGTTTGTGGTTGGGGGAGTCAATCACACAGTGGATGATGAGACAAAAGAGGAAAGTGAGCAAGTCCTAGGATCCGTAGAGATGTACAACCCAGAAGACAATGTCTGGACCAACCTCCAACCAATGCCATATAAATCCTCTGACCAAGCTGCTGTTTTTACCAATGGCTGCCTGTATGTTACTGGTGGGATTAGCTCTGAGCCAGATGATCCTGTGCCACTGAACTCAACATGGTGCTTGAAGGTTGGAGGATCCGAGGGGTGGGTCCCCAAAGCTAACATGCTGAACGGTCGACAGGGACACAGCATCACTGCTCTTAGTGGAAAACTTTACACCATGGGTGGTTACACTGCTAAAGACGATCGCATAACATTCAAGAATCAACTGAACTGTGAAGTCTATGACCTTGAAACAGGACAATGGTCAGAAATCGCCCCCACTCCTGAGGCCTTCGGGCATCTCTTCCCCTACAGCGATGCTTTGTTTGATAAGATTTTTGTGATGGGGGGAATTCATACCAGTGTAAATCTGTACATCTATGATCCTGAGAGTGATACCTGGGAGGAGGCAGATGTAATTGGACCACATGTACAAAAACTGGCCATCCTGGACGTAGCTTATCCTTATACGTAAACTCTTCTATTGCAGTCTAGGATGAACAAATGTGTTGATATGTGTACATGCAAGTATCCAAGATACAGTATCATATAGTGAACTTTGTTTAGTTTTTGGAATACCATGACTGGCATGAGTAGTGAAAGCTTGTATGTAATCATTATTGTAAACATTTTCTACATTTGAGGTCAAGGATATAGGATAAAAACAGATTGTTTTAATTGGGAAAAAGAGGTAGGCATTGTGCCTACTAGTTAAGTGAAAAAAATTGGACTACTGACAATAATTACATTTTGTTCCATTAAATCCTAAACACTTTGTTTTCCAATGAATGTTAGCAGTAATACATTACCAGGATGCAAACAGGGAAAGACTAGGCATAACTTTTATTTGATGCATAGATCAACAGTGATACAAGGACAATTCTTTTTTAACAAGATTTTCTCTATATTGGTTTTTTTTATTTTTATCATGGTTGTACTGGCATTTTTAGATATATTTTTTTCAACATGGTTGTACATGTACTGGCATTATATGTATTTGGTTGTGCTAGCTCATCATTGGCTGTGCATCTAAAAAAATGTGTACTTAACATGCTTAATGTATTCATGTATATTTTATAATTTACAATTATCTTTAAGGTCATATCCATTAGGCATCTGCATTTATAAAAAGTGCATTTTCTTGCCAATTTATAGCTCATCTGCTGGTCTAATCTTTATACATGATGTATGTCTGACAAGTTGATGATTGTGTATTGTAATTATTAGCAGAATCCTGCCTGTATCTATTGTTTACATTTTCATAACTGTTATTTTATTCCTGTCAATTGATGTATATATGCTTTGATGAAAAAGAATTTTTAAAATCACAGAATATAGTTTTATAGTAATTGTTATCTTAGTTTGTACTTTGTACTAAGCACTTGGCATTATAATTATAACAAGAGTTGCATGGAATTTTTAAGATATACTGTACTTAATTTCTTTACTAAACAAAGTTAAACCATGGTAACTAGACTGAATCTGATTCTGAAACTGGTCACTAGTATATACTGTCAAACTGAAATATATCAACTTAGTAATATTAAGAAAATCTTAGTTTATATAAAAAACTTGATATTTATTTCCTAAGCAATTGCTTTCAGTTTTTTACTTATATGGATATGATTTAAACAATCTCGATTATAAGAAAGTAAAATTCCAAGTTCCACTGACTTCTTGAGTAGTGAGTTCTACTGTATACCATAAAATTCAGTTTACCACCTCTTAACTGAAATGTTTCATATGTTAATCACTTGAAAATCGCATTTAATGTCTAGATAAATAGTTTTATCATGTTTATTTTACTAAGAGTCCACAATGATGCATTCCTAAGAGAGTTTGTTGCCATCTTCTCTCATCAAGCTGTTTTCTTTCAATAATCCATTGATATTTAAGCATTTTCTGCTGTGTAATTTTGTACGTTGTTTAGTTTTAATTTTTTAACATTCCAAAGATCTGTTCAAGTTTTTGTTTTTATAAATTTGTTACATAAGAGGACTATATGTTCCATCAGTCATTACCAATATGTCTTTCTAAATTTTCCAACATTTTTAGGACCAGTAAATTGTTCAAATTTCGTATATACATGTATACTTTTACACATTTTAATCATTTTACACAATGATGTGTATGCTTTATACATATATTTTTTTTGCAATCTTTAGAATCTCTTTCACTGAGTCTAAATAAAGCTTTGAAAATTTGTTTCCTTAATCTATTGTCACACAGTTAAAATATATTAAATCTAGTACTTGGGGTGACGATATCCTTTACTGTAAATGTGTTACATTTGGCTGTGTAGTCTTTTGAGCACTTTTGGCAAAGAGAATCTTCCGCTTATTCAAGTACAGCATTAAATCTCTGGCACATGCACTGTAGATACAAAGGTGCTAAATCAAATCTACGCTAACTAAAAATCAATTTCTGTTGATATGATACATGCTAAATATAAAACATTTACAGTATTTTGAGATATTGAAGTAAAAGGACATTTAGTATAAAAGTCTTTAGGACTTTCAACTCAATTCTAAATCAGTTGTACTGGGAAATCACTTACTTTTGTGGGGTCACATTTTCGAGGTTTGAGTAAAAATTGCTTCGAAGAGTATAAATTTATTTTTGTGGGTTAAGAGTTGTAGTCTGAAATAAAGACTTTTACCAGGCTTTTTTTTTTTTTTTTTTTTTTTTTTACAATTTTGATATGTTACGTGCCTTTCTAAATCATGAAAAGAACTTCCTGGCTCGTAATGTGTTCCCTGAAGATAACCAAATTTCACCCCCATGAAAACTAGTGATTTCACAATATTTCAATTTCTATTTATTTTCTCTGTGATAGCTCTTTGAAAGTTGGGTGAGTTGATTTCTTGATAATTCAAATGAAAGGTCTGCAGAAGGCCTAAATTGCAGCAGGAATAAATACATGTAATAGCAAAAGAGAATTTTTTCTCCCATATTTTATCTCAAATAAAACTGGAAAAAAGGATGCTATTAAAGTTATGCTTTTCCTTTTGAATTAAAACAAAGAAGAAGTCTCAATAAGCCATTATCTGTGGTCCCCGGTAACTCGTCAAATTTTAAACTTTCATTAAAAAGGTTAAAAAGTTAATTATATTATTCTCTTATGTCTGTAGTATATGCTCCAACGTTTAAAAATTTCAAATTATTGCAAAAAACAACATGCGAAGCTGTGTTTTGAAGGTTGGGTCCTTTGATTTTCATGAATATCAAAAGAAATTTGTGACAGGTACCCACTTCACGGCTTTCGTAAACAGCGAGCGAGCTTTGGCAAGTAGATCAAAATATAATGTGTATATTATATTTATACAGATTGTGTGAAAATATCTTTTTAACAACTTTGTTATGTTTTTACTTAAAAGTATCATGATTTTGAATATGTTCGGTGAGTACATTTACATAGGATTAACCTCTTGTTGACCTGCTAAGAATAGATTATATGTCACGTGATTCCATTCCGCCACAGGTGAATACCTTTGGAAAGCATTTTTTCTAGCTGCATAGGAAGCGAACAGGTAGCTCGTATTTGAAAAGTGCAGACACCAGCTTTCATTTTTTGAAATAAAAAAAAAGTTTTCTATAGACTTCGACGAATATCACTTATGTTAAACTTGGACGATTTTCCGGGACATTTTTTTAATTCTCATGCACGTAATCGCAATAATCCTGTTCATTGCGAACAGCACATGAATTAATTTTTACGAGTAGATGAATAAAAATAAGAAACCAAAAAGCAAAAAATATCAAAGTCGTAATAATTTCTTCACATTTAATCAGTCTAAACAAATGCACTCGTATATTGACCACTTCAATATTCAAAGCAACTTTACACTCTTGTCACGTTTTGGGATGCATGCATATAGTTATATAAACTCGATCGGAAAAACTTCGAATGTATTAATGCAACGAAGAATCAAGATAATTATTGAGTTTGAATTTCATTTACCAATCGTGTGAATTTCATGATAAGAAAAAATCCTTGTAAAGTATAATAATTATGTTTCTACTATTCAAGAACTTATACATATGTATATGTATTTGTACATGTCATGCGTTAATCAATAATCGATAAGTAGAATTTAGAGCTAAATTAAGAAATAGATATACATGTCGGGCAGATAGTATCAGGGGGAGGGGTGACCCATTCTTTTCAGGGATAAAATCTTATGTTCTTCATCCCCCACAAAAAAAAAACAAACAAACAAACAAACAAAAAACAAAAAACGTTCTAACGCCCTTACGCTGTTACCAATATAAAAAAAATCACATATTAATGTTAATGTTTAATTTTCAAATAAAAAATGAGTTATTTTTTTTACTCCCAATTCTACATAATCGTTTTCAAATTTGGAGAAAGATTTCCTCTTTTTCTTTTGCTTTAATATTTTCATGTTTCGAATTGTTTTTTTTCCTCAGCTCCCCTTTTTTTCAAAAGTAGGGAGTGTATATTTCTGTGTGTATTTGCCGTTAATTATTTTGCAATCGCTTGTTCTTTTTAAACTATCATATAAAAGAAAAATAATATAGTGGTTGAAATATCTTGACATTTCATTCAACAATGATAGATTTAAAAAAAAAATATTGTGATATTAGGGGATTTTCAAAACTCCGACAAAAAATACCCCAAGAACTAAAAAAGACTCCCACCCACCCAGAGTAAGAAGAATACGAAAGACGCAAAATAAAATTCAAGCGAATTGAAGATTATTATTACCCATCGCATATTGTTTATTATTTCTTATCTCACGCTACAGCTCATCGTGTCGTCCTTTTTATAATACCATATTTAAATGTTTCCGCCCATTGGCATGTAACAGAGAAACCGTACTCTGTTCGAAAGAAAATGTTCCGGAATTTGTGTGTTTAGTAGGTGTTGAAAATCGGCTTGTATTTCTTGATATTCCAAGTTATTAATAATGATTGTACAGAATGTTAATTAGAAATACTTTGTTATACATAATGAAACTAAAAATAATACCGTATCCTCGCGTATATTCTGTAAAATAAGGACAAAAAAGGGACCACGCTACTATACTTAAGTGGAAAACTCCTTTATCCACCCCTATAAAAAAAATCCAAAGAACTGAAAAACATCTGTTGCAGATGTTTATTTTGTACATAGCTGGACAGCATATCATTTAATATTTGTCTCCATTGTTAAACTTTTAGAAGGAAACATCAATTCAATCTATTTTATTTAATATAATCATTTTTAATAAAATTTGAGTGTCTTGGATCCACAGGAAGACCATTCTACTCTCTCCATTCATGTCTCGAACATATTCTCACAGAGAAAAAAATGTACCCCATACAGGCTTACAGGACTTTTTATCCATTATCAACACAAGACGTATGTTCATCCTGATGTTCACTAGTCCCACTTTTGTCTGAAGCTGTGTTTGGGAGTTCCTCAATATCAGGTTTGTGTTTAATCTTTTTATTAATCCGTAGATTGTTTTCAGTCACTGCGCCCATTAAGCACTCGTCTGAATCAGAATCTATATCACAGTCTGAGTCACTACAATGCTCTGAATCTGAGTCCTCTGAGATATCTCCATTTTGTTCCACCATTGCAATATTCTGAAAATATATCAAGGTTGCAAAATATGATAGTATTAAACATAGATGAGATTACTTGAAGAAACTTAATTATGAGCTAAAGACTATGAAGTTCACAATTTACCATAATGCAAGACCTTCATCCTCATTTCAGTTTAACAGGAGGCCCCTGGGCCACAACTCTCACCTGAATATAGCTTTAGCCCTGCTATTCTTCACCAGACTTTCCCCCTTGTACATGTAATACCTATTGTGGCCCCGTCCTATTCCTGGTGGTAGTGATTTGAACAATTTAGAATTTACTCTATACCAGGATGGTTTCACATAAGTTTCAGCTTTTCTGGCTCAGTGCTTCTTGACTGATCAAGAAGATGAATTTTAAAGATTTTTTCTATACATTTCAATGTAAAACTTTCTCTTTTTGTGGTGCCTATCTAACTCTGGGGTCATATTTAAACAATTTAAGATTCTACATTACCCACATAAGTTTTGAACAACTTTTTTTGCCCAGTGGTACTTGACAACGTTTTTTAATGACCCCATCCTATTTTTGTCTTTTCTTGATTATCTCCCCTTGTATTTAGGTTTGGCCCTTTAATTTTATGACTTTAAATTCCCCTCCACCTCTGATGCTTTGTACCAATTTTGGTTAAAATTGGTCTAGTGGTTCTTGAGATGAAATTAAAAATGTGAAAAGTTTACGGATGGATGGAAGGAAGGACAACAGACAATGGGTGATCAGAAACAGCTCACAATTTCTTTGAAACAATCCTTGGCTCTGATCTGAATTTATTTTAATAGAAGGTAAACTTACCATTTCTATGTATCTATCCTGGTTCTCTGACACTTGTTCGATGTCTATTTCTTCTGAGGACTTCTCCTGAAGTGCTTTGTTGGCCATTTCCATCTGAGGTAAGAAATCTCTCACTTGTGATAGAACTAAAGTAAAAAAATATTGTAAAAGATATCTCAAGAATCTTCATGAGTTATACATGTAATTAAAAACAATGCCCTGCAAGATATTTTCATCAGTTCACACATAAATTATGTTACATGTAATAGGTTCTGAACTCAAAAACAAAAAGTTCCATGGGTCACATTACTCACCTGAGCACTTTGGCCAAAAAAAAAAGCAGAAATCAGTTCAGTATTTTAAATGACTGATCCCCTAACCCTCCGTACCCTACTGGGTGCATGATGACAAACAAACTTGACTCTACACTTAAAGCTGCTTCCATATATAATGATATGACTAATATAATGGTTTTAATAGATTTTTTTCTCGGCATATTTATATATGAAACTTATCGTCCTATTGTGACCCCACTCTACCCCTGGGAGGGTTATAATACATAACATTGTGTAATGACAAATTTAAATCTACACTACTGGTACATGACATGTATTTGAGGATGCTTCCATATCATTATGATTAACCATAGCTTTGCTGTTCTTGATTAGAAGTAAGATTTAAAAAAAAAATCTTGTACAAGTATTCCTATACAAAACTTTAATACCCCGTTTAGGCCATAACCATAAACCTATCACTAGGGGTCATGATTTGAACAAATTCCAATATACACTTTGTGAAGATGCTTTCAATATATATGACTGATCATGGCCTGGTTGTTCTTAAGGAGAAGATTAAAGATTTTTCCTACATTTTTATGTTAAACCTTGATAACCGAATTGAAATTGTGAAAAATTAATGCCAATAACAATGAAGATGATGATATACAATGGAAAAAAAAATTGATCAGAAAACCTCACTTGAGTTTTTGGAATCACTATTGAGTTAAAAACAGCATAGGTAAACTAGAACTGTCCAATAAAAAACCCCCGCTGGCTTTTTCAGAAAGCATAAGTTTTTGTAAAATAAAGTATATGTATCAAACACGAATTATAAAATTTTTCTTCCAGTGACCTTGAACTTCCCCAAATGACCTTGGGTCAAGGTCATGACACACCCTTGGGTCATGGGCAATCTTTGAGTGAAATAACAACCTACCAAGTTTATCTATAAGAAAGATATGGACCGTAGCACGAATTATTAAATTTTTCTTCCAGTGACCTTGAACTTCCCCACATGACCTTGGGTCAAGGTCATGACACACCCTTGGGTCATGGGTAATCTTTGTATGAAATGAAAACCTACCAAGTTTATCCTTAAGAAAGATATGGACCGGACACAAATTATTAAATTTTTCTACCAGTGACCTTGAACTTCCCCAAATGACCTTGGGTCAAGGTCATGACACACCCTTGGGTCATGGACAATCTTTGTGTGAAATGAGAACCTACCAAGTTTATCCATAAAAGATATGTGTCATACATGATTTTTGAAATTTTTCTCCCAGTGACCTTGAACTTCCCCAAATGACCTTGGGTCAAGGTCATGACACACCCTTGGGTCATGGGCAATCTTTGTGTGAAATGAGAACCTACCAAGTTTATCCATAAGAAAGATATGGACCGGACACGAATTATGAAATTTTTCTTCCAGTGACCTTGAACTTCCCCAAATTACCTTGGGTCAAGGTCATGACACACCCTTAGGTTATGAGCAATCTTAATGTGGAGTAGTAGATTCTAATGTCCCTCTGTAAGAAAGAATGGACCGGACACGATTGTATCAGACAGTACGGACAGATGGACAGACAGACGGACAAGGTGTTCATACATCTGACCAAACTTCGTTTGCGGGGGGTAATGACATACTTTTACAGAAAAAAAAACTTTTATTAATTTAAATAAAATAAAGAAATGGCATAAACTGTTTAAAATGTAACAGTATATAGTGGTATGCACATGTGTACATTTCTTTTACAGTGATACCATGGATATGATACAATTTTTTATGTATACTGCTGTATATCATTAAGGTCAATGTACCCCTAGTGGAACCACTTTCAAATCCAATTTTTCATACAGCAAATCATACTCATTTCTTTGAAATATTAAAAAAATTTTAGGGACAAAAAGGCTTATTAATGAGTTTAAATCATGGATTTCATAAAAAAATTAGTGTTTTATTATCCATTTCAAAGTTTTCTTATCCAATAGAAAGTAAATAAAACACTTCAAATCGAAACTTTAAATGACTGTAAAATCAACATGTTCAAATAAAACTTTGTATTTCTATAATGACATATCAGTTGAGCTGCCTGAATTAAATTTTCAAAGAAATGAAATCTTACAGAATTATGTATCACCAGTTTTACAAGAATGGCAGATCAAGAAAGTGTTCATACATCTGACCATCAGTCTATCCTAAGGGTAATGACATACTTTTACATGGAAGCATTCAACTCTCTTCTATTTACTTTTTGAGTTATTCAAACCAAAAATAATGATCAAAGGATAAATAAAACAACATACAAACAACGCCATGTAACATCAAAGCTAGTCTACCAGATTATGTTATTTGTTATCCTTGATTTTATTTAACAAATGTTTGATTTATTTATGTCTTAGAGCATTCAGTATGGAGATTTAATTTTCTTGACGTCAGCTGATGGCGATCGGACCTTCAGATGAAATTCAAAGTTTGCTTGAATTTTGGTTGATAGCATTATCAACGATTGGATTTAAACTTTAGGAAGAACGTATAGTGAGAAATATCGTATTTGAACCCAGTGGCACACGCAAACAGGTAGGCATATCCGATTTATGTGTTGAATTGAAGCCTGAATCGAGCAGGGGGTCAAAATGGCAGTGCACACCTTGTAAAGCAAGCACATGTCATCAAACCAATAATCCTTTGTGGTGCATAGCAACATGGTAGATTAAACACAGCAAAAAGTTACTTGAAAAAAAATTACAAACAACTATTTTATGCAATCTCCATGCCACAAAACTATCGTTTGCATCCCAAGTCAATATTTATTTGATATCATACTTTTGTCACTTAAACATTTCAGGTATTACAGATTTTGTCAGAAACTTCCGAGAAGTTCGGAATCTTGATCCTGTACATGGGAATTGATTTCTTTAGTTTTCAGCTCACCTGAGCTGACATGTGATTTCTTTAATTTTTAGCTCACCTGAGCTGACAGCTCAAGTGAGCTTTTTTGATCACACTTTGTCCAGTGTCTGTCCGTCTGTAAACTTTTCACATTTTCTACTTCTTCTCAAGAACCACTGGACCAATTGCTACCAAATAGCCACAAAGCATCCTTGGGTGAAACCATGAAAGGGTTTCAAGTTTATTCAAATGAAAGGGCACACCCTTATTCAAGGGGAGATAATTTAGAAATAGTGAAAATTTGGTGGCATGTTATAAAAATCTTCTTCTTTAGACCCACTGTGCCAGGAAAGATGAGACTTATGGCCAGTTATAAGGGTTCATCCTCAGGTAGTGTAGATTCAAGTTTGTTCAAATCATGACCCTCAGGAGTAGGGCAGGGCCACAAGGGCCGATCAAAGTTTTACATAGAAATACAAAGGAAAATTCTTTAAAAATCTACTACTCAAGAATAGCAAAGCCATGATTGATCATATTTATATGGAAGCATCCTCAGGTAGTGTAGATTCAAGTTTGTTGTTCAAATCAAGACCCCCGGGGGTAGGGCAATGGCCAATCAAAGTTTTACATAGAAGTATTTAGAAAAATTCTTTTAAAATCTTCTTCTCAAGAATAGCAAAGCCATGATTGACCATATTTTAATTGGGGGAGGGAGGGCACAATGTCAGCTCAAATGTAAAGGGCAGTAAAGCCACAGGTACTGAGGTAGTAAAAGAAATATGCAAGCATCCTTAGTTAGTGTAGATGCAAGTTTGTTCAGATCACACCCTCTCCCCTTTAAGAATTGGTTGGGACCACTTTTGGGCTTAAACTTTTCAATAATAAAATGATTTCTGCTTTTTTCCTAGCCATAGTGCTCAGATGAGCGATGTGGCCCATGGGCCTCTTGTCTTGTTTTCTTTCAATTCTTTTTTTATTGAACTGAAGATAGTCAATAGTATTAAAGCTGTGTATAGGTTTTTGATATAGTATATAACTGCACTCGCCCCAACCGTCACATCGTAAAACATTTGATTTAATATAGAGGGGGTAGCATTTTTCGATATTTGGCTAATTTAGATGCAAGTTTGTTGAGGACACACCCTCTCTTGATATTGGGACCACTTTTGGGTTTAAAAAACTATCATTGCCATATTTGTGATAACAATAAAATGAAAAATTTAAAACAAGTGTTCTTTTTTCCTACATTCCTATATAAAAATCAACAAGGTTGCTAAAAAGCTTATTGAACGGAAGCGATGTGGCCCATGGGCCATATACCCAAATATACGTGTAATATATCTTTTAGATATATTTTTTTTATTGAACATCAAAATTTTATTTTCAAACGTTTTGTATTTACACAAATATTTGGCTGTGTATTCATTTTTAAAAGGGCTTTCACATGCAAATCAGGGAAAAATAAAAGACATTTCATTTCCACTAATTCAATTACAACGCTAAATTTTTTGTAATATACATACGTAAATAAGAACTATTGGAAATGCACTAAATCAAATCTACGCTAACTTGTTCACAAAGCAAAAAACTGTAGCCTGACATCCTTCCGCAAAACTTGGTCATACACGTTCAAAATATGAGATACATTAATACAGAATATTCAATACAAAATGAGCTGTGTATAGGTTTTTGATATAGTATATAACTGCAGTGCCTCGCCCCAACCGTTAATTTATATATAGAGATCGATATTTTTATAAAAAATTTGATTTTTTAATATAGGATAGATTATATCACAAATGTGTCATCCATATATAATTTATGTGAAAAAAGTCTAACAGGCCCGGGGGTCTATATTGAGGGGGGGGGGTCCTGTCCTCAAGCACCTGTAATTCAATTAGCGACTTATTGATAAAAATTCAAGTGCCTGTAATTAGACATCTTATAGATAGAATGTTCTATCGTTTTAAAAATGATAAATGTCCTACAGACACGCTTTAAAGATAGAATTCGTTCCATGTATTCACAATGTAGCAACACAGGTACTTGGGTTGTGGTTTATAAATATGTACCTGTGATTTCCAGTGTAAATCCTTTCGTATTCTTCAAATTCGTTTCAGAGCGATTCTGCAATTTTTTGCAACATTGCGAGTATATGGGTGGTATTTTAACTGTGGGCTTGTCCCGAGACACAGTTAGCAGGTTAGATTATTCTAACTAGACATCTTACAGAATCACGTTTTTCTGTCATTTAAAAACATGATCTTTACTCCTTCCGAGATATCGACATATACCCTGTTAGGGTCATTATGACCAGTTTGGGGTATTCTTTTCCGATTGGGAGATTTGTTTTAAAACCTAGCTATTAACCCAGTATGCAGTCGTACATCTAAATATTGACTTTGACCTACATTACTAGTATTTGCCCTAAACATGACTTACACTTTCACATTAAATAAAAATATTCTAAACTGAACACTGTACCATTGTCTCTGTTCTCTAGGGAAAGAAGTTCTGAGGATTTTGTTTTGTTGACACTCATGCTGTCAATGGGCGCCGCCATCTTTAAATTGTAGTTTTGGTAAAATCAGGATCCAATAACAGATATTTACCAGTCCCTAGTAATATTTGATGAAATACACTAAAAAGAATTAACTCTTAAATATGTTAAAATATTGAATTAGATAAAAAAGAATAAATCAGTCAAACAAATGATAACATAACATTTAAAAGCAAAAAACCTTTTTGGAATCGTTCCGGTTAAATTTACCACTAGTTTTACCAACAGCAAAAAAGTAACTCGTTCTGAGTTTGGTTGGATAGAAATCGGCGAATCAGGTATTATTTTCCAATAATTTCTATTTCATCAATACGAACAATAAAAGAATCATATTTTCTTAAAGTTTATATTATTTTCAGTATTTTTTCCCGATTGCTTTTGAATATTCTGAAAACTAGACATAACGTATGTATGAGTTAATAAAGACTTACTGTTTTGACAGGTTGGCAAAAATGGCAATTATTATTTTTTGTTTAATTTCAAGCTGTAAAAAAAGGACAGCAATCGTAGATGTTTATGTATTAAAAAAATAATTTGTTTCTTTTCTAAGGAAAAAAATCTTGATAAGTAGGGAGTGTAAGAGATTATCAAATTATTGTGAAAGACGTAGTTACTTGTTAACTTGCTAAATTTCTATACTGACTATAGAGTTAACAGTGTCCAGGTTCAGTACATTAAAGTGATCATTGTCAATTTATTCTTTCCAGTAAAGTTGAGGGAGTTGGCAAAGATGTAAATGGATAATGGCCGATGGAAGAGCAGGAAGCTACAACCTTCGAAGCCGCCGAAAAATGGTTCCCAATACCCCTGACCTTCTTACCCAAACCTCCCCATCTGACCAATCCTCCATTTTTCCTCCACACAAAGCTAAACCTAACAATGCTATAGAGCTACAAGGCATTATTCCACATCAGAACGGCCACCATGGCAGGCGGGAGGGGGATACTTATCTCGGATCTGAAGAGGAGGAGACTGTGTTTGAACAGACAAGTTTAACTCAGCCATTGTTAGCAGAAGATTCTCCCAGTGATGGAGAAACAAGCATAAAAGAATCTCAAGTGCAGCTAAAAGAGAAAGATGAGGGCTCGTTCAGCATTGCCCTACAAGTGTTTATTCCCTACATCATTGCAGGATTTGGAACTGTCGGTGCTGGTATGGTCCTTGATGTTGTTCAGGTAAACATCCCTATTAAGTATTTCAAGTGATGAAATCTGCAAAAAAAAAAGATGTAAAATATACAATCAAACCCTATTATCAAGAAGTCAATTGGACAGAGAATAAATTTCAAGATATCATACAGCTGTTGAGTTTAAAAAGCTAAAGAAAACTGATTGGTAAGTGGACATCTGAGATACTTAGGTTTCACTCTATATTGAAATTATTTCAAACACACAAGTATTGCTAAATTACACATGTATATTACCCAAAAGAAGAAACTTGTCATGGGCTATGACCAAAAATTTTAAATCATTCTTGTTCACATTAATTTTGTAGCTTTTGTTTTTTCACCTACATGCTTGGCCTAACCTCTGCAGTATTCATATGCTTTAAGCAAGTGTCACAAGATTTTAATCTTTGTTATATTTTTTCTTACATCATTGGTAGCACACAGATGTTTTTATACAAGTTTCTGAGATCTTCATTCTTGTCCCCTCTCTCCTGGGGTTGAAAGGAAATCTTGAAATGACGTTAGCCTCAAGACTTTCGACTCAGGTGACTGAATAAGAGATTACTGTCATAAAATACAGATCAAATTGTACAATCAAGTCTGGATTAAATTAAAAGAGTGACTGATCATATTGATGAAGTGTAAGGGAAAATAATGATGAAGATTATGCAGGCAAATAATATTAAAAATACTGATTAATTGGTAACACACAATCAGGTAAAGTTTAAAACATGTGGATTAAATTAAAAGTGTGATATACATGTAATGCACATGTGTCAACATTTGTGTTATATAGAACTTCAAATGTGACCTTTGAAAATGAATTATATTGATCATGATTTTATATCACTTTGGTATATGTTTACTGACAGAGTAATTGACTTTTTTTTTAGTGCCAGGCAAATTTGTGGTTGCCATGATAATGGATAAAAAGTCATGGTCTCCTGTTGTGTGCCAGCAGTGGAAGAGCTTTGTATTAGGTGAGGGAATATGGCTTGTCCATTCGCACAAGTGACCAAGGTCCAAACTTAAACGAAAAAATTTTCAATGACACACTTAAATCAAAAAATTAAACGTGATTATTGATAAATAAGACAAACACATATAAAACGAAATTTTATCTATAAATTTCCTGTCCTAACAACAACATAAGTGTTCGCAAGTGAATCTGTAATATTAATCAAATATATTCCAAACCCGCAAACGTCACAATATGGCTCTCTTGAACATCAAAGTTTGAACTTACATAGAATCAAAATTCGGGTTTATGCTTTCGTTTTTATTGGAAGTAAAAGTCTTGTTTTCTTGCACTTGAATCAACATCTGTGTTACATAGAAATTCAAATGTCAAGGGTAAAGGCATTTGAAAATAATATCAGTTCACAACCTCATGTATTTGTGTACCCCTTAGCTTGATTTTATATCAGTTTGATGTATTTTTACTGACAGAATAAACAGTTAGAACTTTTCTATTGATTGCAGTGCCAGGCTATAGTGGTAGGATTTTTGGCCTCTGTGGTTGCCATGATAATGGGGTGGATACCGGAGGGGAAATTTAACATCCATCATGGCCTCCTGTTGTGTGCCAGCAGTGTTCTTACGGCGGCTGTGGCTAGCTTTGTATTAGGTGAGTTATGGGACATGTCTTTAAGATTTTGAAAAACTCAGTCCAATTCAGAGTTTTGAGTTATGCTCCATATAATTGTTGATACTAAAAAAAAAAGACGTTAAATGTTTAAATTATAAACTTTTTTTTTACACCCCCCCAAAAAAAAAGGTACTTCTGTATCTAGCAATGAGTTACCTAGAAACTGTAGTAAAGTAAAAATTATTTGTAGGAAGATTTTCATTCTTTTATAGGAAAATATTATGGAAATGAACAAATTTTTAGATGAAGAATTTAGGTTTTGAATTGAAAAAAAAGGCTTTTGTGTATTTTAAACACATTTAATGGTCTGCATTTTTGTAATTCTTTTTTAATACATACCTCGTACATGTCATCAGTTATTATAAACTTTGTGTGTTTTTCTCTTTTTTGCAGGTGCTCTAATGGTTTTAGTAATATTGGTGTCAAGAAAATTAAAAATCAATCCAGACAATATAGCCACCCCTATCGCTGCTAGTCTAGGGGACTTAACCACACTGTCTCTTCTTGCTGGGGTATCCATGCTGCTGTTTAAAGCAATAGGTAAGCCTACTCATCAGTAAAAATTATATACATATTGTAAGCAATCTGTAGGTTTTAAATAAGGTTACAGATAAAAAGTCAAATTTTTTAAATGTAAAATATTTAACAGGTACCCAGGTGTGGTTGGCTCCGACCATTATCGGCGTATTTCTGGTGCTAACTCCTTTGTGGGTGTACATATCTGTTAAGAACCACTACACAAACGACGTCATCTACTCTGGGTGGACACCAGTGCTCAGCGCAATGGTCATCAGCAGGTAAGCAATGAAATCAAGTATTAACTGTTAATGTCATTAAAAAGGGCCTTAAGTTAGAATATCATTTTACTGAACATCTGGACAAATTTTCATTGTATCAAAAGAACCAGTGAAAAATTTTGAATACATGGTAAATATGTGAGCTGAAAGTTATTCTGAATTAAATACTTACTGATCTATGAAACATATGAACTAATGAATGTTAACCAGATATTACATGTATACTGTAATTAATAAATGTACCGGTATATATTTCAGTATTGGAGGTCTGATTTTGGATTATACAGTAGCTAATTATCATGGTATTGCTGTATTCCAACCTGTTATTAATGGTAAGAAACTTGACATAATGTTTTCTATTTCGTTCTCTGAATGGAACTTCCTAGATTTAATAGTTTCTCACAAAATTATTCTCTCTTAGACTATAATGATTTTTTAAATTTTTACTACAGGTGTAGGGGGTAATCTTGTGGCAGTCCAGGCAAGCCGAATAACAACTTCTCTGCACATGACAGGAAGTAAGCCTGGGAAACTCCCCTCTGGTGCCTTGATAGGGTGTCCGAATCCTGGGGGAGCATTCTGTGGGACAAGTAAGATAACTTGTTACAACTACATGTAACTCTCTTCTTTCAAGTCTCACTGATTGGTCTTCCAAATCCTTGTGGACACATATTGACAATAAGAATTTGATTGAGAATTATTTTATTATTTAACTGAAAAGATATTGCAATGTAAAATTCCTTTTCCAGCCTTGAATTCTCGAGCAGCGAGAGTGCTAATTGCTCTAGTTATACCGGGGCATTTGATATTCATGGTCACTATTTCGTACATGAAGGCTGGACACACCAGTATTACCTGGACGTTTGCTCTATTCTATCTCACCGCTGCTCTTCTTCAGGTCAGTTCTGATTCATCACAGAGGTGGAGGCGACAGTGTTTGTATATAGACAGAGAACTGCTTTCATTTTCTGAATATAAGATAGAAGACACATGTATTAGAATAAAACAAAATTAAATTGATCAAATTTTCGACACATATAGAATGAAAAAAACTTTTTCTTAATTGATCAATTTTTTTTACATTTTACTTACTTGTAATTAAGAGACAGATCTGAATTAAAATATACATGTATGCACAATGTATCTGAAAGATGATCAGTATTTTACATTGTTTTTCCTCTTTAATTCTTAAGAGGAAATATATTTAATGTTAATATTGATAATAAATAATAGATTTGGCCATTAAAAGTGAGATAAGATTGCAAAAGTATTCACATATCACTCAGTACCATGATCCCAATGTAATTATCTTTTTGTAGGTGATAATATTGCTTTACGTTTGTCATTGGATGATCCACTTCATTTGGAGGCTCGGAGACGACCCTGACAATGTGGCCATTCCATACCTAACTGCCATCGGAGATCTCCTTGGCACTGGTTTCCTGGCGATTGCTTTCCATCTTCTGTATCTCGTGGGAGATAAGGACGCCGATCTCGGAGATTAAATTCACGGAGATAGAACGCTCAAGTAAATGGCAATAATTTCATAGATTGAACTCACAAAGTGAGAATGCTCAGATAAATGGCAAGCTCAAAGATAATAAAAGTCCATGACTTGGTCAGGTGTAAAGTGCTATTTTCCCATGAATGTTGACAGTAAGATACAAAATTAATTTTGTAATCAGAAGAAAATCCCTTAATTAATCCCTGGTCTTCCTGTTGCCCACAGCATGCATTCAAATGAACCTTGGTTTTATTTGCATTTTATGTCTCTTTAAAAGAATCAGAATTATGATAATTGTAGAACATGTATTGTGTAAAATACTCTGAAGAAAGTCTAGTCAAACTACAGTGTGTGTCAATTCTGTTCTGTGGAAAACAGTCTTCACGAAAACTTTTCAAACTAACTGGCCAGTCGGACCAGTGAACTTTCAAAATTTACTAGCCCACCAAAATTTTTACTGGCCCCTTTCGTAAAAAAAAAATAAAATAAATACATTTTCATATCTGTAAATTTAAACATGTTTACGTACTTCACTTTTGAAATGCCGCCATTTTTCGCCCTTTGTCGCATTTCGGTAAGTTGTTAGTTGGAACTTTGCACATTTTACGTACTAGTTAATAATTACTAGCTAGTTCCGGTTGTTACGTAATACATCCATGTTATAATACTATTCAACAACACGAGCTTGTTCTTTTTATTTCATATATTCATGAAATTTACGCAAGTAAGTCAGTTGAAATAAATTTTGACTGTGTATGATTTTTATGATCAACAAGCCCATCGGACTTCTTGAATTTTGATTTTCACTGACCCGACCTCAAAATTCACTGGCCTTGGTCTTCGGACCAGTGAGTTTTCGTGAAGACTGGGAAAACACCCCATTGTATTTTAAATGCTGAAAATATGTGCAATCATGATTAGATGTTTTAAATTTTTATAAGTTGAACAAAATGCTCTATGTTCATGTTGAAGAAGTGAAGTTCAACAATTGAAAATGAATTTATAGTCACTCTGAATAATAAGGCAATAATTTATGTTTTGTTGAAGGAATTGCAGTATATTTCAAAAGAACCCCAATAATTTACAATCTATGTACCTTTAACAAGAAACATGGTTTGATTTTTTATATAATCTGGAGTTTATAAATAATATAATCCTGGTATTGGATATAGCTTAGTATAATGTGATAATCTATATTTTTAATAATTCTATGCAAATGTATGTATAAGGCGCATGTGAGAAGCTATTTATGTTACTTAATGGTAGATATTTGTCAAATATTTACTTCTTCAGCCACAAAACATGAAAGGTTCTAAGATGAATTGGTTATATTAAACAGAGCATATATACCTTGGGTTACATTTAATTAATGGATGCTATTTTCAGTACTTGTTTTGATGGACATTGTTTTTATATAATTAGATCTATTGTTGGGAGATGGTTATTTATTAAATGTATCAACTAAGACAGTAACCTGTGATGTCATAAAAGTTTTTTGTGGAGTCAAAGGTCACTGTCATGTCAGAGGTCAAAGTCTGTCAAATAAGTCTCAATTCTTGCCTGCTATGCATGTATGTTTTTCAGTATTTATATTCCCATATCATGTATCACAAGGACATATCATCAGTTTACCTAGTTTTAAGGATTTGCTGTAGTTATCTTTATTCTTATGCTTACAGACCCAAATCTCTAGGCCTGTATGTAATACTAGTATCTGTAAGTGATCCTGATGTTTTATGAGTGACTTTAAAGTCATATATGGCATATTTTTGATAAGTTCAAACTAACTAAAGTTACCTTATATAAAGATAGGCCTTTCCTGCTTTTCATAGATGTTCGAGTATTAAAACAATTACTGATTTATTTATGACTCGGATGAAAATATCAGATAAAGTTTAATGTCGGTTTTATCTACAGAACTGGGGATATATAAGTTCAAAATTGGTGAAAAATTTCATTTGAATGTAGATAGCAAATATCATCTTAATCTACACTTAATCTTGTGTTTTATTTCTTAGCTCAGATATGCCATATATAGCTTTAATACTTGATTTTATAGTCTGTGATATGTTGAGTAAAAGGAGGTTGTATTTGAAATTGAATGATTTATAATAATATATCACAAAATTATTAATTTGGGTAAATCATTTTCCACCATGCCTTTGATTGAATTTAATACTCTAAAGTTTAATTCTAATTCAGAGGCGTAGTCACAAACTTAAAAGTGGGGGGGCTCCAACTCCGGAAATTCTTTGACAAGCAAAAAAAAAAAAAAAAAAAAAAAAAAACAAAGTTTAAAAGTGGGGGGGCTCAACTCCAGAAATTCTTTGACAAGCAAAAAAAAAAAAAAAAAAAAAAAAAAAAAAAAAAAAAAAAAAAAAAAAAAAAAAAAGTTTAAAAGTGGGGGGGCGCAAAGCCAGAAATTATTTGAGCAAAAAAAAAAAAAAAAAAAAAAAAAAAAAAAAAAAGTTTGGGGGGGGGGCTCAACTCCAGAAATTCTTTGACAACAAAAAAAAAAAAAAAAAAAAAAAAAAAAAAAAAAAAAGTGGGGGGCTCAACTCCAGAAATTCTTTGACAAGCAAAACAAAAAAAAAAAAAAAAAAAAAAACGTTCCTCAAACTCGAAAATCCTATTTCGTGGGGGGGGGGGGTATTGGCCAACTTTTTCAAACGCAAGTTACTTTCAAATCCAATTTTTTTCCATAGTAAAGGTAATGTTGGGGAAAAATAGCTGTGATTTTGTTCTTCATTAAAAAGTGGGGGGGCACAGACATACTCTTGCCCCCCCAGATCTGAAAGTGGGGGGGCTAGTGCCCCCGCTGCCCCCCCTGTGACTACGCCTATGTAATTTATGTGTAAATATCTTTTCTGCCATATTGAAACTGTGCAGCAAGGTTTATGGTACTTTGTAGTTCCTTTATTCCATGACATTCCACAGGCTTTTTATACGCCCGTCTTAAGACGGGACGTATTATGTTATAGGCTTCATGTCCGTCCGTCCGTCTGTCCGTCTGTCCGTCTGTCCGTCTGTCCATTCGTGTCCGGCTCATAACTTCAATACTATTAGGCCTAGGATTATCAAACTTTGTCAACTGATACTTCTTGGGTAGACGGTGTGTCGCGCACCAAAAGTAGGTCGCTCTGACCTTTAATAAAGATGCTATGGCCAAATATGGAAAAATCCTGTCCGGCTCATAACTAGAAAACTATTAGACCTAGAGCTATCAAACTTGGCAAAAGTATACATCTTAGGTAGAAGGTGTGTCGCGACCTATTTCAAGGTCACTGTGACCTTTAATTTTAGTGAAATTTTTCAAAAATTTAAGTTTTTTAAATTTTAAATTTCGCAATCCTAAAAATGTAAAAAATAGAGTTGTATCCTTATTAAAAAGTATTAAATCAAGTAAAAACTTATTTTTTCATCATATACTTTACAGCAATCTTAAACAAATTTCAGTGTTAATGAGAGGAATTCAGTCAGTTTGTCCCATGGGCATAATTATCAAGCACTGGTCAGAAAGAATTTTGATAGCAGAAAGTTGCATGTCAAATTAGAGAGAAATTAATGAGTTTAGTGTGAGGAGGTTTGGTGTTGTCCCTTGGGTATTGGGCAAATGGACAGCCAGCCTAGCTGTTAGATTAAAAATAGCTCTTGGTGGCTAGCTAAGTTTTAAAATGAATTTGATAAAAAGTAATTAAAACTTATTTGATATTGCATAATAAACTAATAATCTGATATTATATAATATTAATTAATTAAAAACTAATTTTATCGGGTGGGGTTGAATCAGCATGCCTACTTGACCATATGAAATAAATATAAAACCTGTCTGGCATTAAATCTAAAAAGAAATCATGGAGTATTTTATATGTTTTAAAAGTGTTTTAGGATAAAAAGTGCAGATCCATTAATATTTATAATTAGGGAGCAATGAGTAGACAAGCATCCAGTCAAAGATTAATTAATGAGTTCAATGTAGGAAGGCTATCTGATCAAGCGCTGCCTTATCTGTCTTTGGGGATTAGGCAGAAGAACTGCTGGTCATAGCAAATGTCATTTGATGGCCAGCCTTTCTTTTCAAAATTAATTTGGCATAGATTAAGTTGTTAAGACTAATTTGATATTGTCTATTATGATGGCTGGCATTTGACAAAGTCTAACACAAACAGTATAGAAATCTGTCAGTTATGTAACATTTGTTATAATTAGGCCTACAGCACAGGGGATGGATAAAGAAATTTTTTTAAAAAAAAAATGGAAAAATCATGGACATCTTAGAATCAAGGTTGAAGTGATTTTCTTGCAGTCTAAACTGTTAAAGATAATTGTGTAATATTTTGACGGGCGTATCATGCTGTGGCGTGGCACTTTATTGTTCAAATATTCCTATATTTCAACTGCTACGGTCCTTTCTGAATTTTATAATTTTATGTCAACCAATTAAATATATGGAAAGATGAGCTTTATTTGTTTCTTTGAAAGTCCTTCTAATGAATTGTTATGCAGAATTTGCATTAAAATACTTACAAACCAAGACACATTGTCAGTTTTAGCAAATGGTCTATAATGCACCTTATATTGTACTAAATATTATATTTAGTATATTTACTTGTTACAAAAACATTAAATGGTGTTAAAGAGAAACTTCAGAGTGATGTACAATATTAAAACATTTTAGAAATGTGATAAATCAAATATGGATTTCCTAAAACTCTTTTTTAAAAAGAAATTAAAAGCACAACATTTTCTTAAAGTCATTAAAATCAAAATTTAGGAATTTTTAACAATTTATACAACTATTCCTCAAAATAAACAGAAAAAGGCTTTCTGACATCACAATGACTCTTCAATGATATTGGAAATCAAAATAAAATATATTCGTATCTTGAGATTGGCAATTAAAAATATTTTGATAAAAATCACTCGGCTTTAATAATCTGATGTTGATATATATTAAAATACTGTATAATCCCTACTAATCGCCTGGACGCTTAGAATATTGCAAAAAGGGGGTGGTTATTTGGGTATTCTCTTTATAATACCGGTATCTATGTCGTTTTTGGAGACCAGGTCTTCCAACAATCCATTGGAATTGACATGGGTACCATTTTCGCCCCGTTATTAGCAGACCTATTTTTGTATTTATATGAAGCAAAATTTGCGCAAAATCTTATGCGTGAAAAGAAGAAAACACTTGCTGTTGCCTTCAGCTCGACATTTAATTATATCGACGACATATTGTCAAATAACAGTTGTAATTTCCATTCTTATTTCGATACGGTATATCCTGTTGAGCGTGAGATAAAAGATACCACAGAGTCTGACACATCTGTTTCATATTTGGATATTTTACTTGAAAAAACGTTAATGG